GCGGCGCGGCGGGGCCCACCGGCCCTCCGCGCCCGAGGCGTTTCGCCCGGGAGCGGCAGGAGGCAGCCGGCGGGTGGTTTTAACCGCTGTGGGTTGGGGTAGCGCCGTGGCCGCGTTTGCAGCAAAAGGCCGACGGTCAGAGCCGGAGGGCTGGGAAACGCTGGAGAAAACCACCCCGCAGCAGGGGAAAACGCAGCCGGGGCGTGATGGCGGCCTTCGCTCCACCTGCGGTTCGACCTGCATCGAAAGCCACCGTCGTGCACTGGCTTTAGCACACCCCAAAAGCAACACGTGCCTTCTCCCACTCGTCCAGTTCCAGTACAGCCAATGGAAGTGCCAACACGGGTGTTCAATCTGAGAGGGTTTCTGCAGCGCGCAGCTATTACTTGTATCATCATTACTTTGGTTCACACACATACAGCTTTTGTTTCAGAGTCAACAGTCCTGGCAACTGGATCTGTGCCCGGTGGGTAAAAAGCGTGGTTGAGTCGAGACAGGCAATGACCAAGCAACAGTAATTAAAGATCATTTTCTCAAGCCATGTGTACAACAGAGCTGACCCTGCGCTGTCTTCATTGCTCGTGATTCTTCCTGCCTAGATGCAACAGAAATACCAAAATATTCTACACTGATCCAACAGCAATTTTTTTGTTTGCTTTTGCACAGTATTGTTCTACAGACATAATTTTCTCTTGACTTCACCATTAAGTGATCTTTGAAAAGTTGCTCTGCCTTGTATCTTAAGTTTTCTGTGCCTGCTGGATAAAACAGTGAAACCAGAACTGGGCCTAGATCTAGGAGAGCCACAGACTCTAGTTTCTAGACATATCATGAACCATGACCCGTCTCATTTTTTACAGCTCAATGACAAATGTGTACGACTTTGCTACATAGCTAATGTATACCACGGCTTTATGTGTGCTGTTGATCATCTTGAGTAACTGCGAGGAAACAGTTATTGCTGCCTGATCAGATTTAGTCTTAGTTGAATTTCTGAGCAACAACGGAGATCAGATTTCAAACATCTGCTATGTTTTGCACCTGGGAAATCAGCAATCTCGCCTTCTCTTGAGGAACCGCCTGGGCAGGAAGCCGTCTTATTACAGCCTCTCTTTAAAACCCAAGCACCTTCTGGTTTGGTTTGAAATCACTCGTACATGCTTCTGAAGATACGCAGAAATTATAAGACTCATGGTGCTCCACTGTTTGCATTGTGATGGCAGCGTACCAAGAGCAGCACACCAGATGGTACAGACGCAATAAAATGTCCACCCCCCATCGGCCTACCAAAAAAACCAAAATACACTTACAATCACTTCAGAATTAATGTTCTCCATTTATTGATCATCTAGTTTCAATAAGCATTTTCTAAGCATCACAGCTGGAAAGAATTTTAGCATGACAGCTGAAGAACCCTTCTGATTTTTACAGAGATCTTCTCTGATGCATAAGGGGCAGCATGGAGAAATACAAAAAAGGAATTAGGATGGCTATACTACTTTGATATTTATTAAAATTCCATGCTTTGCTTTTCCTTCTCCCTCAGTGATGCAGTGTTATCTGGGAAGCAGGCCACCACGTGTTGGGGGAAAAAACAGCACAAAAACTCAGCCATAATTACAAGCCTCCAGAGAACTAGAAAAAGTGTAACTGATCATCCAGTACGCTGACAGCCTGCATAAACCAAACTAGATACAAGATCTTGGTACAAGTGAAACTGAGTAAGAATGCTGGTTTAGTTGATTGTTCAACAAGTATTCTAGTACTACTCGTATGTACTGCATCTCTTCAACGGCGTTCCTATCTTGAGGCTAAGCAGAAATTTCCGGTTTTATTAGTAACCGTCATAGCCAGATCCCTTTCACATGTGGGGCAAGAACAAACAAAAAGCCAACTGCGATCACAGATAAGTTAAATAGGCCATTTCTATGCCTGCCAGAGGCATTCTACAACCTGGACGTTTGGCACCAGACCCTTAGCTGCCTCTTTCATTAAGTCTTTGGGCATTAGCCATACCTGCAGCTTGTACGTCATAACAGCACCTCACAGCAACACTCCTTCCTTTAGAATATCTGGGTCATGTGGAATCACAAACCATCTGCGCAAGCCAAACAGAAGTGGGTTTATGTTTGAATAATTTAGAAAGAGGGGAACCAACACTGCTGTGGAATTAACAGTTCTTCCATACCACTGATGCAAGACCAATGTTTCCAGGCCTACCCCTTGAAGAACAACAAGCAGCTCTTCTGGAGAACAAATGAGAAAAATAAAGCTTTAACTATTTTGTGAAGTTTACAGATGAGTCAGTTGTGAACTGTATGTGTTACTTAAGAAGACAAAACAGAGAACACTGTTGAACTTGCTGAAAGCAGCAAGTACCAACTATCTTGAATTGCTGCCAGCTCTTTAGAAACACTGTGGAAAGGGAAAAGGAAGGGCAGCCCCGGGGGGGGGGGGGGAAGAAGTCCACTGCTAGGTTTAGGAAGAGTAGCTTCTTCCCCATGTTTTGTTTATGGAAAGAATAGCACCATGCCACTGAGATTCTGCACAATCCCAACTCTTCGGTAAGTGAAAAAGGGTAGCCAGCTGATGGGCAAGAAACCTCCTCTCAAGCAATTTTAGACCAGCACTCAAACGGGAACTAAAATCAGCTGTTGTATCTGGGCACTAATAGCTCTGAAGTACTGCACACATCTGCCTGCCTACCATGAGCAGGCTATCCAATTAAAAGCAAATTTAACTAATGATTTCTCAAAATAATTAGTTACCAAATAGGTAAATATGGACATTAAACACATCTATGTTTACCTAAAACACCTGCAGGAAGAAGCAATACCTTTACTTGTAAGTCATCTTACACGTACTAAATGGCTTTTTTGTCCCATATGGCTGTATTGCCACAAATAACCATTCATCTCCTTCCACCCCTCAAGAAACCTGTAATATATGCCTTTTAGTATATGCATGTGGCACAGCAACCTGAAACGAAGTGCAGCCAGCTAGCAAATTAGTACTGAAAGCTTTTTACAAGATGACTCTCTAACGCTGGAACTTTTGATTTATTAGTGGGTTACTCTGTGCTGTGAAAAGCTGTTGTAAACCTGTGACAGAGCAGAGAACAGTCAAGTAGTTGCAAGCTCCTTTATAAAGTTTCTTTGGTAGAAAGCTATTTCAGGTAGGCTTGGAAAACTCTTGTTACCAGGTACTCCAAGATTAGTATTTGCTCACTGGAGGGTCAAGGATGGTTACAATAGGAAGAAAGGTGTGTGTTTTGTTTGCTTTTTAATTATTTTGAGATTAAATACAGTATGTCAAATTCAACAAATGTTTGCTGATGTTATGTTGTTGAAGATGTTCAGGTAAGTTCTGCTCCAACTGCAGTTACCCTTCCTATTTAGATACTCAAGACAGCCAGTTTGCCACATTATTATTGGAAAAAATTATATTTTGGAAGAACTCACTACAGAAGGTGACAGAATTCCAAAAATCAAATTACATGAAAATATACATCGCAATTTTCTTTGTACATTAGGTGAGGAAAACTCTGAAGTAGAAGGCAAAGAATATGAAGGGCCACAGAAGAGAGAAAAGGGAAAAAGGAGGGAAACTATTTTTGATACCAAACCCAGAAGTTAGTCAGCTGAAAGCCTACAGATGTGCATGCTTGAACTCAACCTTGAGAAAAAACAAGCCTCCCCCACACACACCCCGCCCCACAAACAGGCAATGAAAAAGGCAAAAAAAAAAATCACCCATAAAAAGCAGCTCATTTCTATCTTGGACTAACTTAGTCAACTGAACTTCCAAATGAAAGCGCTCAAGTCCCTTGGAAGTTAAAAATCCAGCAGGCTGCTCAAGGGTGCTCCACGGCCAGTTTTATTGCTATACCCAATTCAAGATGTGCAATTGGGTTTAAAAAAAAAAGGGGTGGGAAGGAAAAAAAAAGCACCTTTGAGATTACAAAGGTCATCATAAAAGAAGACGCAAGTAATTAATAGCAAATCCTTTCAGGGTTTAATTAGGAAAATTTTAAGTTCTGTTGGGGGAAATAAAAGGGAGCACATTTCCAAAAACCAAAAGAGATACTAAACTTTAATAAGCAAGAGATTTTAATTAAGCCTCAGTGGGTCAAAGGAAAATTAAAGTGGGGAAAAAAACCCACAACTTTATCCTAATTGGTTTTAGTTTGACATGCTTCACAAGTTGTTGTTTTTGTTTTTTGTTGGTTTTTTTTTTTTAAACTGATAGGAAACAATGAATAGGGAGAGAAAAACCTGCTAAAATCTTTAGAATTTACACGATTCTATTCCTAACTACAGACAGCATTATTTGGTACAATGTGTATTTGTGGATGTACATGAACAGTATATATATTATCCGGATCATGTTGTGCTATGTACACATCTTTACAATTCTTCCTGAAGGTTAAAGCAGTTCATTAGATTTCAAAATGCGTAATCATCTTGTGTTGGCACTTGTTAGGCTCTTGTCAGCATTGATAACTGGCATGTTTTATTGCAGCCCAGTTCCAGCCAGTGTTTGCCAACTTGTAACAACAGAAGTCCAGCAATAGGTGGGTAGAGTGCAGGAAAAAAAACAGTGCCATGTTTCTCAATTGGAGACCTACAAAGAAATCACAGTTATTAAAATAAAACCCCTCATCATCCTCAATTATTTTAAAAGATGTTAAATAGCGTTTCAAGCTCAAGGAAGATAATCATTACTTGAACAAGAACTTTACATACCTCTAAACAGAAGATGCATAAATCCAAAATCATCACCTGAGAAAGACTTGAGTTAGTTCAGCATACTGTGTATCCAAGCTCAACTATCAGACTTTCAGGCTCCTGTTACTCATGTTGCTTGTCACGTGCATAGTGTGTAAACGTTCGATTATTCACACATAGGGCTAAACACTTGTAAATTTATCATTGAAACTTCCGTGCATCACTTACTGTGAATGATGGATGCTGCTTCAACAGCAAAGTGCAGTACAAAATGGCATAGCAGTGCTTCATTAAGCAGTAACACCACAGCTACCTAGTCAGACTGTGCTTGTTTGAAACCAACTGTATGGCCCCTTCTCATTGAATTCATTGCCCATCACTTACTTAGGAGGAGTCACCAGGACTTAGAAAAGCTTTTGCCTTCCAAAAAGGCAACACAGCCAATTACTTAAATATTTGTCACGAGCATTGTTTCACTATGGCCAAGTTTAACATGGCAACAGAGCTGAGGTTAGTTAAGGATACTCTGGAGCATTACTCACAGTTACTCCCTTTCTCTAAGACAGAAAAAATTGTCAGCTGCATTAACAATTCTTACACTCTAGTTATAGGCAGTTATATAAGACATTCAGTTCTTTTGCTTAGTCTTTTGATCAATATTAAGCATTTTCATGCTTTCTCTATCCTGGAGAAAGTTCCGTTCAATCAAAGCATTTCTGCAGAGAAGAGATACTGCAGTACTAGCTTGTCACAGATGGAGCCTTCCCCCACCCCCACAGTTCTTACAGAAGTGTAAGAAAGGAATTCTCTCCTGTACAACCTTGGTGAAGAAAAACTACCTAGCAGGAGCATTTAGTAAGCTGCTCTAGTTGTTTAGACAGTACAACCCCTTTAAACTACATACAGTGCCGTATTTCACCCCCACAAGTTCTGTATGCTGAAGCTAACTAGTACATATGGTTTTGGGCTTCTCCAGCCAAACGGGTCAGAGTAGTTTATTTGCCAAACCAACCATTAAGAAAGGGCAGCTTCAACACAAAGCTCTTGTTTTACTTTGAAAAGCAAGAGTGGGAAATTATTAGCTAGTTGAGGAAGTTTTTCCTTGGCATACCAAGATTAAGGTGACCAAAGGCCAGGCATTTAAGGGCCATGTTTTACTACAGAGCTTTCTACAAGAGCTTACTGTGTAAAAAAAAAAAAAAGTGTCCCATTAAAACTAGGATGGGGTTGTTCAAATTATATTAAGTATCTTGAGTCAGAAGCTCATTTTTAACAGGGTGGCATAAAGTGTAAGTATCACATCAGCTACTCTCAGGTCAAAACTTGTCCAGGCTCTCAGATATGCTACAGTTCAGTTTCCAAGCAAAACATAGCTGTTTTTCTGAAGCTGTTTCTCAGCCTTCCCCAGTAAAAAAGTTTTTTGGGCTGCTGAAGAGAACACCACCTTTCTTGGTATTATTGATGGGTAGTATCTCAACTTGATCCTTCCTGATATGCTAGTAGACTTTCTATTAAAATTCCCATAGATACCTGAAGCAATCCTTTCCAAATGGTTCCTAACAACCTCACTGAAGTCTTATTTAAAACCTACATGCAACATGCCACCAACATCTGCAAGATAAACTCTCTCTATATACACACACATATATGAACTTGAGATAGCAAGACAGGATGCTTTTAAGATTCAAACAAGTGTTCTTCACAATAATGAACATGAAAAAATGATTATTCCCTTCTATTACAGCTCTAGTAACCCCTAAGCACTATTAATAAAGCAGGATGAATAGTGATAAAGAGAATTTCAACTTCTGAACAGCATAAATGCAAGAGTACTAGAGAAGTTCCCCAGTCTTGGCAGAAGGGGCTGTTACTGAAAACTAAAAGAATTTTCGAATGCAGTATCATATACAGCCAAAGAACTCCACTGAGACCATGCAGCTGAGAAGAAAGGTTGGTTAGTTGGGGGTTTGGTTTTGGGTTTTTGTTTTTTGGTTTGTTTTTTTTGGGGGGGGGGGGGGTGTTTAGAAAAAAATTAGTCCAGCAACACTTAGGCAGGAAATCCTCAACTCAGGTAACTGGCTTGCCGTTAGAAGGATACTTACCCTGAAAAAAGTGAAGCTACTAGCTGCTGAATAAGTGTCACTCAAAAGCAGTTTCTTGGCTTTTTCTTACACAGCGGGCAACTTTTCTTTTAAATTCTCCATTTCTGTCTTCTCTCCATTCTTTCTGTAATTGAATAGACAGCTTTCAGATGTCAGTCCTATAACAATGTGCAGGTTCTAGGAAGACTCTTGGTGTTTTTAGACATTAGCCATCTAGTCAACACGTAAATTTGTTTACAGTCATTGAGCTAGTCACTGAAAACCTGTGACATTCAGGACTTTTGAAAGCTTGCTCTGGGTTTCTATGCAAGCTGCTCACAAGACAGTGAGGACACAGCCTTTCCCCCTTGGATTTTAGGCATTCTCCAAGACTAACCTGGTGGCTACCAATATTTCACAATGTCTAGGACAAAATCTATTTACTTCAGCCTGCAAAGTAGCAGCAAACTCAAACTGTAGACCACAAGCTATTGTTACAGGTTAGAGAAGAGGTCTTTAACTGCAGTAATGAAAAAAGGTACACAGCTACTGTGGAGCCAGTAGCTATTCTGCAATTTTTAGGACAGTTTCAACTCCCTCTCAATCTAGCCGGGACATTCCAGGATAGAAATACAGAAGTCACAGTATTCAGAAGAGGCACAGCAGTGTCCTTAGAAAGAAAACACCTCCTAGTTAGATACGGCTGCAAGATATTGGCTCCGTGAGGAAGACTTTAACAGAATACTCAGCACACCTATGGGGATGGTCTCTGTGACACGTATCTGATTTCAGAACCGCATAGATGAAGAACAAAGATGAACAGGAGGATAGGCAAGAGGTAAGTCTGAACCCAGAGATGTGCACACCATGGTATCACCAAAACCCACAGGAAAAAGCACAGCCAGTTTTAAGTTTTTTTGTGCCAGCCTCATGATGAGCTCAGATGAAAGCATAGGAGCATCATACACTGTGACTAAGGTTGACGTGTTGGGTACTGGCAAGGAAGTGGTGGGAAAATATGAAGAACCCCTTATTTAATGAAATAAGTTCTACAATTCTTAGTTTTTGATATAAGCAATATACTCTTATTGCAGGGGTGGGGGAAGGGGTTAAAAAAAACCCCACACTGTTTTACCTGAAGCAACCTAGCACGCAACACCTTTGGCTACTAATTAATTTGTTCTTTTTCAGCAATTAATACAGCAAGCATTTGGTTCCTTGGACTGGGACATAGGACAGCTTACACAAGATGGCTTAAGGCCAAGAAAAGCATTGAATTTGTGCCCTCCTAGCTTCAGATTCTTAGTTTTTGTTTCTACCTTTTATATTTGTAGTTCTATGAAGCAAGTGTTCAGAATCAAATAGCAAAGTTTCCAATTTGACAGCAATCTCTCCAAAACTCTTATTTTAGGTCATGAACTGTTCTATTTGCTTCTCACAATAACTATTCAGGCTCCTGTCCCTCATTTTTCTCCCACTCCAAGAGACAGTACTCCAACATGCATAGTTCATTTTTCTAGGAAGTGGGTACATCCCCTGCTCCTATAATGCTGTGACCTGTCTGTAACACCTTATTCTCTAGACTCACTTAAAACTAGAAATTAATGAAAGTATCTTTTAATAACTGCCAAATAATGTTGCCACAGTAAACTCGTACTTTGTAAACAAAGTAGAAGACATCTTGATAGCAGCCCAGAATAAAGCAGATGAGCTGCTGATTCTTCATTATCCCGATGAGTATGTTCTGGTTAATATGAAGAGGATGCAATCTACAATGCAGCAGGAGATGCTAAGCTGCTCAAGCAGCACATTAAGTTTAAACGCTACTTGGAACATCTAATACCACAGTCAGAAAAATAGTTACTAGCATCCAAAGGTTACACCAGTGATGCCTCAGTACTGTCTTTACAGTTGTACTTGGATTTAAGTTTTCGTTCTTTCAAGCTGGGCTAGAAAATGCCGTGTTTCCTTAAGACATTTTCAACCTTTACCCTAAGGTTTCCTATCTCACATCTCTCTGAGGAAGAGAAAAAAAAGAAAAAAAGTAGCTCCCGACATGGCTGGCAGAGAGTAGGGCACACTACAGGAAGATCAAAAAGCTCGCGAGATGCTAAGAAGGTGACAAGCATAGCTAAAAGTGTAAGCTTTCTCCAGTGTTAGGTCAGCTCCATTCAACATACATCAGTCTAAACTGAGGAATTGTAATTGTACTTTTAGCATTTCATTAATAACTTGCTCCTTCCAGTGATCTCAGGTTTGCCAGCAGAAAAGGTCCATGTGTCCTGGGTATTTGTTTCCACCAGTAATGTGACACAAGAAGGGGAGGTCCGACACTCAAAAGAATGTTAAATGAGGGAATTCTTCACTACAGCTTTTTGTGTTTGTGTTTGGTTTTCTTCCCATTAAGTTTGTTCCGCACGAGACTATTCCCATGATGATTTTTCAGCAGAGCTCAACCACCTTTGGAAATACTGCCAGCATAGTAGAACAAAGGCTTCAGGAAACTGAACTCCCACCCACTTTGGGAACGTATAGCTAGCTTGACAGAGCAGGTTAACATGCTTCTAGAAGACTTCGCATCTTCTGATTACCCTTTTTCTCATTACCCCAGTTAAAAGACCTAGAACTTCTCTTTTGTGAGAGGGTATCATGTATTAGTCACTGCTGAACTGCAATTCAAGAGTAATTCAAAGGAAAGTATGTTGGCGTATCTCAGATGAATGGGACCTGAAGTCTGTTCCCCAGCTCCCCTCAGAAATGAGAATTTTTTCCCTCCCCGCCACAAATAGTTATTAGTCTAATTGCTATTCTGCTATAAACACAGCTCTTCTAGAGAGCCGATAGCTGTGTTTATACACGCACACAGAACAGGCCATGCTCCAGAGACACTATGCTGCATGAAACACTTGCATCTCACTTAAGACAGAATCCTTACTGCAGATTCACCCTGGTCTTTGACTATAAACCAGGCCATTCTTCCTCACTTCTTAGCCAGTCATTCTAGTCTGGGACAACACTTCCTCCAGAGTTGAAGGCCAGATGCCCAGTGAAGCTTTCAAGTACATTCTCAAAGCAGACCTACACAGTCAAACCTACTGCTTTAATCCATGACCCAGGAAGACTGCTGTAGAGAGGTGGATGCAAAAAGTCACAACATAATTATACTGAGGGACCCCACCACGTTTTCTCCTTCCATTCAAATGAATAAATCTGTTAACAGCTTATGTAATTTCTAGGACAAAAATTTTGCTGCATTATACTAATAACATACTAGGAACCAAAAAAGTTTCTAGAATATGTTACAAGTTTAGCTGCAGAAGTTAACTGCTACATGTATATAGCCACGCAGGATTTTACAGCCAGCTTCCTTGAATTTTTTAAGACTAAAGGAGCTGAAGTTTATCCATTAAGTACCTCTGTGCACAAGTTATTTACTATAAATAAATGCATTATTGCACAGGAGAAATTAAACCACTGCCTATGAAATTTGACAGCATCTTTCCCTTGCAGTTTGTAAGAAATCTCCCAGGGCTAACTAGTAATTCTGTTTCAAAACATGACTGCTTTTCCCAACAAAAAGGTAGCCTTAGCCTGTGACAGAAAAGGTTCTTCCAAAAGTTACTGCACTGTTTTGTCAAACTAGAAGCAAAACTCCATTGCAAGTTTAGGTTTCTACATGGAAGACAGTTGGCAGACCAAGAAAAATCTTACCGCTGCATCAACGTTAGCAGGAGAATCACCATTGGGATCTGCCAGCATAGAAATAACACTAATCATTATAGTTTCCACTGTGTGAATGGGAAGCCAGCGTTCCTCAGGTTTTTCATAGCCATATTTGTCTTCTCCAGGCTCATGAAGAATTGAAATGCAGACATCGCCATTCTTGTCAACTACAAAATAGAACGAGGCATATTTCAGTAATGACCAACATGCTGGCATTTCTTCAGGATAGTTATGGAACTGTTAGTCTTCACTCCAGCTAGTCTGAAAACACGATGGTGAAGACGCTTTACAAAAGAGGAAAGTAATTAACTATTACAGAACTCAATCTGTAATAAATAGGGCTTGGTGGAAGTCTGTTATTATGCCTGGACCTCTGGCAGAGAGGGTACATGGGGAGGAAGAACTTAATTCTAACATCATGTTGCAACTTCTGAGACTAGATAGGCTTCCACTAAAGCTTTTTCTGTTAAGTTCAGCAAACTAGACACTGACTTTTTTTCCACAGCAACAGCTGGATATTACTGCAGTATATTGGAATATGATTTAAGCTGCTGGAATTAGAAACTGCCTGACAAGTACTCTGATATTTCCAGAGCTGAAACTGACACAGCATCAAAATAGTCTCTCTGTCCCTTATGATGGGAGCACTGTGCCTGTCTCCTCCCAGCTTTCGACATCTACAACTTCAATAATGACTTTAGAAACTGAAGAGCATTCCTCCTTCCCAGTAAAAACCTTCTTCCACTTTATTTTACCTTCCCATCTATGTCCAGCAGTCCATAAGTAAGTGAAACATTAGGAGGAAGTCTTCTTTGGAGGGACTAAAAGATGCTGTTATTTCCTTTCATGCTTCACTGGAGGAGGACAACCTTGGGCCTTCTATATTGAACTGCCAAGTTAATAGTACTAAGATGAAATATTTGAAGGTATAACAAAAGGCAGCTATAGAAGTCAAGTTTCTCCTCAGACCAGAATTATGCACTTAGGGGGAAAAAAAAAGATTAAAAAAAAATCCCTGAACAGTTACCAAGAATTCAAGAAGCTACTTTCAGTAGCTTCTGAAAATACTTTAGGAGCAGTCTCTCAGAGCAGCACTATTAAAAACTCTTGCCATGGTTATTACTTCTTTATGAAGTGAAGATGGCAAAGTAAACACAGAGTTTCATATTTCTAACATGAATAGAAATGTATCCATTTGTCTTCACCGCATTTTAGTTCTTAATTGCAAAAAGAAATTGAAACTTTGACATTTCTTACCATTTGGATGCCAGATTTCTGTGATGAATTTCATTTTTGGCGGCCTCAGTGGATAGTCTTTTGGAAAAGTAAGATGAGCCTTGAAAACACCACCTTCACTGGGGAATCAAAAATATCTTAGTAGAGTTTCTTGTAAGCTTAAGCTGAAGATTGGAACTTACTGATGTATCAAAAGCTCCAAGTCTACCCCTTACACAGCTTCACATCATGTTAGTAATTAACAGTACCATCATTTCCATATGCAATGCAAAGAGTTTCTAGATTGAGAAGATCCTTTTACAAGATACTGCCAGTTCCCCAACACTGTATCTTTTTTAGAATAGGGATGATGTTCCAGAGGGGAAAAAACCACACACACAAAAAAAATATCAAAAAACTGCCAAGGAATTCACCATCTGGAATTACAACTTACATTTTTCCTCCCAGTACATTTATTAACAGCAAAAAAAAAAAAATATTGCCAATAACTCCCCTTCTCAAGTACAGCCCAGTAGATACTGTTTATTTTCCTCCTTTTAGACACCTCAGTCCTAATTTCTTGGTATCAGTCTGCAGCAGTGAGCCTCAGTGAAAAGTTACAGAAAGCTTTATAGTTGTGTCTACAGCATTACTTTGTAAAAAGACTTCCAGTTCTACCTTTTCAACACTAAGCTAAAAGGACTCAGACATGACAGTGAGGTGTTGTGCATTAGTTACCCACTAAACTGCAAAACAATAATAAACAAGAGACATCCAGTTTTTATGTGGAGTTACAGGCCCATATTTAACTAAGATAACAGTTTGGGTTTGTTTGTTTCTTTTTTTTTTAAATAACTAGGTTTCAATACCCAGGAATAGTCCCTTTTGAAAAGATGCAAAGGCCTATATTAATTAGAAAGCCTTATAGATGGACTATTTCACTAATGTAAGTACTATAACATTTGCCCTGTTACTGTCATTTCTTGTAATCAAAGTTTGTAACAAAATTTGAAATTACAAAGGCAGAGATTACAAAAACTGGAACATAATCTCCAAAGAAGGTGGCACGAGATGTGCAGTATGACAAGCTACTCCTCAGTAGCCATGCAGACAAAAGAATTGATGTAGAAGAGACAAAGCTGTTCAGTGCAGTTTTTTTCCCCTGTATTTGTAAAGGAGTAGGAGCCAGTATCCAAAGCCCACAGGCTACTGAGAAAATAACAAGTTTTACCACCACTAACCAAAGATGTGCAATTCTAGCAAGTGTCTCCAAAAAAAACCCAAACCCGAAAAGCACTAGATCTAAGTGACTTGGCTCTTAAAATAAAGCAGCTGAGGGGATCTGAACCCACAGCATTCATTTTCCACAAGTTTTAGAAGAGGCAGGCAGTTTCCAAAGAATCCTTCATCCTGGGAAGGGTAAGAATTCCAGAAACACTGTTTGTTTTAACATCCATACTAGTCAAGATAAAGGAGAGTTAGATTACATTTGTTAAAGTCTTTCGAGGTGAAAAAGTTTTTCTTCCCCTTTTTAAAGAAGCAGATCCTAAAGCTACTAGGCTGTATGGCATCCCCAGTTGCCCCTCATCAACTACATATAAATACAGCTCTTATAATTGGATACACATTAGAAACCAGCTCATGAAGTACATCTGTCAATTAAGGGACATCAGTGCTATTTTTAGCACTATTCCTGATAAAGGGGTCTCTGTCAGTAGAGCCATGCACTGAGTCTAAAGTCTTTTTAGGTAAACTCGGAATAAATAAAGTGGGACCAGGAATGAGACTAAAGTTTGAAAACTTTGAACCGCCTGGTTAACTTAAACTATTATGTTCTACTCCCTAGTCTGTTTGACGATGACAGGAAGGATTCAGTATAATGCCACCTTGAAAAGCAGCAACTAGGGACTGGAATGGAAGAGAGCTTCTTATCCAAAAAGCCTCAAAACAAGCTCAGCACCTTATTGAAGCAGGGGGAAAAAATGCTATTGCAATTTCTAACATCTAAGAGGAGGTTCAACTAAAGCAGTAGTTTCTTTACTTTTTTTTATATAAATAACTATTTATAAAATGGCCATGAGAATATAATGGAGCCACTACAAGACTGTTCAAAAGAGGTCAACAGAAGTTGGAGAATTCATCTCATGCAAGACTTGAGAATCACAATGTAGTGAGCTTGTGGAGAAGCAAAGCAATTCAATTACTGTGCTTAAGTACTTATTCAGAAGTCTGCAGACAGAGGTATACAACAACTTCATGTTGGAACTAAAACTGACCTCAAGTAAATGTCACTAGGCTTATGTATCAGTAATTTACCACTGGAACAGCTTAATGAAGGAGAACAGAGTTCATCTTCAAGAGCTATGCTTTAAACTGACCTCTTCTGGGCATAAAGCCTTTTCCCAGGAGCTAGAGTAGATGATCATATGTAACCTCTATGAGAAAGAGAAATCATTCTCTCAATTAGCCAGAGCTTTTTTTTAAAAAAAAAAAAAACCCACAGCCAACCACACTGCATGTGCCAGAGTGCTTCAGGTATATAGCAATGCAAAAAACACAGTGAACTTAAATTCCAAGAAAAGAAGTTACTGTATGAACTGCAGAGTTTTGTGTTCAAATGTCAATTAAAGAACACAGCCCTTAGGATAAAGATATAAGCTTTTTGAAGCCCTCTGTGCAAGGTTTGCCAACAATTCAAATTTGATCAACACTGAGGTACTCTAGGTCACACTTGGAAGTTCTCCCATCTCAAACTGACAGGACTTGAGGCTAATTCTATGGTCTGCTGCAGTTTCCCCGACTACATCCCTCTTGAATATTTTCCTACAATCACCAGCATGAAGTTGTAATGGTTTAAAATAGTACTATCAGCTAAACTAGAGCCTCACAGCAATAACAGCAAATAGGGGATTACCTGCCTTACTTAAATGCGTAAGAAAACAGAAGCTGCCTCTAAGTATAGGCTATTCTTTCTCATTTCTACACAAGTGCAATGGGATCAGTGTTGCATTTTCCTAGGGGAGCAAAGCAGTTTAGAACTTCCATATAGCAAATTCAGCTATTTAAAGGTATTTCACTAGCAACAGAACAGTATTACCTAACTTACGTCAGTATGAAGATTTAGGTTAACTTCTACTCACTTAGACCAAACTAGAACTAGTAAATCCGAGTTCACTTAAGTTTCTGTATAAGCATCAGTACTTACTATAGTGTATCTGGAGGACCAATAATAAGGACTTCCCATCGATAAAGATCATTGTCATCTATTAAGCCCGCTGAAAAGCCTTCCACTGGATTTTTGTTGAGCTCTGTGTAGGAAAAAGAATTTAAAGAGTGACTTTAGGTGTCTATGATACGCATTTGCTGGTTTTGCTCATGCCTCTATATGTGACCAAAAAACCCCATGACTTTCAGTGATTTGGCGACTACTGATGGACTTATGGCCTGGGTGAGTATCCTCAACTCCCTACCACACACAACAGCATGCTGCCAGAGCCGAGACCCATAGTCTGACTCTAAAACTAAGTACATCATGAGCAGAAGGGCCAAAATAACTCAGAACTGTGGGAAATGGTCTCCTAAACTAGATACCAACAGCTGTGTGTGCAAGTCAGAAAACAGATTTTCTACTAATAAAAAAAGCCATACTGCTTTATAAGAACGCTGAGGAGCCAGATTAAACTAAAGTCTATCTTTAACTCTAGAAAATGTTAACAGAAGAACAAAGTCACAACATGTTTTTATTTAAAACTAACATCCTATTTCCCTTAAATGATTTTTTTTCAGAATCTGAAAGCATTTGAGACCTGTGCCCAGTGCATTCTGGAGATAATGATTTACTACCTTCTGAACTACTAGAAGAAAGCATAGAAGATAAGCTGTTATGCTGTTTAGGTTTTGGGTTTTTCTTTTTTCCTTTGTTTCAGTTTTATCCACTAGCGATAAGCAATACAGGATTCTAAGTTTCTAGGCTACTTCATATAGTTACTGCCAGATAGAAGGCTTATCTGGAAATAGCTATGCAGAAGTCAGACCTAGATGCAGACTACACTGAGTTTCTGTTTTCAGCCTGCTCCAGGAAAAAGCGTAAGATTTGGAAATAAACACCTCAAATGAGTTCTGCCTAAATTTCAACTTGGGGTTGCGGGGGAGAGAACGTCTCTTAACCAATAGCTTCAGGTCAAAAACTAATTTAAATGCCATATTGATGCCAAATTGAAATTCTTGATCCAGCACTTCCAACACTACATACAAAGTCCTGATGGATCTTGGGTATTTAGGATAGGGGATGGGGACAAAAAGTTATTCTTTCAACTGGTCAGTAATTTCCAGATTAAATTAGGGATTTTTTTTATTTTGTTTTACAATTACTACTGCACTTATTTTAAATCCTGTCAGACATTATATAGCCCTCATTATTATATTCCACAGTACAGTTAGTCTACATAGTCCCTCTTTGTAAACCCAATAGCTGTATTTTGTGTTGATTTCTAGGCATTACAGGCTTAAATTCAGAGGTCCTTATAATGCCCTCAGGTACATGCAGAAGAACTTTAAGTGAGAACCTCATACCTTTATGGAGAAAAGGCTACCACTAAGTCCAAACTGATTTGCCCATAAGCTTGCAGTCACTGTTTGCCAGTTAAGTTCTTAACTATCTAAAGCATGGTTAAAAAATGCAAGAAGAATCAATTCAAGCGCTACACAGAAGAATCCAAATCCACATGGGAAAAAGAAAGCGCTCAGCTCACATGAAGGACCAAGGTCCTGAAGAGGTAGATAGCAGGAATACCGACTTTGACCATTAGTAATTCAGAGTCAAATCTATCCACATAGATGACTCAATGCTAAAATCCCAAGAAGTATATTGGAAAGGCTTTTCTTAGAAGCTACCCAGCAGGGGTTTAGTCAACAGATGAGGTCAACCATTCACTCTCCAAGTTGCAGAACAAAGACTTAGGTATTGAACCAAATTATGTTTTCTCAAGACAATGCCTGAAACAACAGGTAACATCACAGGCTATTTAACCAAGATGCAAGCTTCAAAACCAAAAACTATAGCATGGCCACACCTCCACTAAGCAGACCAGCTTTCACCCTCTGGTATCTATGAAACTTTGTGGAAACAGCTGCATGAGCTTGAGTAACAGTTCTATTTAACTTTAGGTGAAAGGGGCAGAGAGACTAGCTAAGTGTCTCACATGAAGTGAGGACTTCACCAGTGACTTACTACCTCCCTACTACAGACATTCCTCCAGCATCAGATATTAAGAGTTCCACCACATTAGTAGTTGAATATAACCTGCTTTTTCATGCAGGATCTTATAAAAAAATTGTCTATTGCTTGTGCAAAAAAAGCCACCTCTGTTCAGGATACATAAGTCATCCTTTTGAATATTTTATTAGTATTGTAATATGGAATATCCAGCATAACAACTACAGAAGTCAACAGTAAGAGTGCAAATATTAGAGTATCCCACCTTAAGACTTTAATACCTGAATTTAAGCCTCCAAAACACAAGTCCCCTCATTTCTGCATTTCCACAGGGAGAAAAGGGTTTGTGCCGAGTTCTGTGTAAACTGCTGTAACTCAAGCTGCTCACATTTAGCTTCCTTATTGTTTGCTAGTTACAGTAAACAAGCCTGCCAGAAGTTAAGACTCTGGAAAACTCAGCATGCTTCTCTATCTAAATATGCCACACTATTTTCAAGTCCAACATATACATTTTCTTCTCTATTTCTTGATTCATGCTATTGCAATTTCTTTTTAGATCTGCCTCAGCCTCCAAATAACTTTTTTTATCCTTAAGTCCTTTGAAACATTTTTCATGTACTTGTTCCCAATGAAAGCCAGCTCTTCGACTCTGACTCACACCTAAGACCTTGCAGCACTATATTGCAAGAGATCTTGTGAGAAGGAGTAAGATTGCTGGATGCCAACTCTTGTAAGGCAGAAAATCTGAACTGTATAAAAGGGACAGCCATTGACAAAAGTCTTCAGTTACAGCAGTTATGGAAATTTGCTTAGTGGATGCTGCCTATAAAGCAAATTATGATGTTACTTCTTTTACAGGAGGTGGCATCAGTCTCTGCTTGTAAAAGGTTCTCATTTTCCTTCCATGGTAGCAATACTGAAGCATAGTTCAAATAGCTACTGCTTGCACAAATACTTTAACTTGAGGTAAAACAGATATAAGCTCAGGCACCTTCCCCACTAGAGGTATGTGGAATTACCATAGGCAAGTTAAAATGAGCTTTTCCATCCAGATTATGTATGCTAAACTGAACATCAACTAATGGCTGGTTGGCAGACAAAAAAGGAAATCTCAGGAAAGTTTTGCACTGGGACATTAAGAACATCCTTGGTTGCTTTACCGTGGATAGATAAGAGCTGCTACTCGTTAAAATTTGCAAACACTGAAGCCTAGGGTTTGTTTGGTTTTGGTTTTTTCCCCTGGATATAGCCAATGCTGCACATCAGAAAAGTTAACTCGTAGTACCACCTACCTCTTCATGAGTTGAGACTCACACAGCAGTGAAATCCATGCGCCAAAATCCCAAACGAATAGCGATGCCGCTATGGCAAGAAAGGAGCACGCACACCCCATGCTCACAGTCACAGGAGTCAGCTGCTAGGCAGAGGGACTTCTGCCCACCAACCAGAGCCCCTGGTGACACTGCGCTCCAGAAAATGAGACACCTGTTCTCTGCGTCTGTCATTTCCTACCAACTACAGTAGTTAACTACTTGCAGCCTGAACCAGAGTTTTCCTAGATGAACACATGGATGGTGAGAATGCTTCATAAAGCAAAGGATTCAATTCCTTCCCCCAGCCAGGGAGAGGGAAGAAGCCCTTGATGCAGGTCCTCTACAAAGCCCTGTTGAAGAGCTAGCCTACAAGGCCTGGAAAAGCAGGTAAGTCAGACACCCATGAAGAACTGAATCCCTCCATGTTATTTTTTCAACACTTAGTTTTCCTTTGCAATTTCTTGTCTAGCTAAAGATATCCTGTACTTTTTAAACATAAATGAGTATATTAACACATTTCCATCATGTCCATGCCTAAATAAGTGCAATTTACTTGCTACTATATTACACACTATGGTTTAGTATTTCTGCCAATATTTTCTGCATTTCTGATAGAAATATATAATAGAAATTTTTCTTCCCAGAGGAAAAAAAAAAAAATCTTACGTTCACTCTAGAAGCAGTTTCAGGTAGAGTCCTTCACAGCTTAAGCAGCAGCTGACAGCCAGAACAGCACACACCTGGACAGCTGCCAAGCAGCCACATACCGGGAAAAGAATCCTGTGGCTGCTTATAAATTAAATATTCAGTCCCTTTAATCCCAGTCCTGAATCAATACCTGATTTGGGAGATGAGGAAGACTACAGGCCCATAATCCAACAAAGTTGTTTAAGTCCAGAACAGACTTTAATGTCCAATGCCTAGTCTTCTACATGATCTGCCAACACAACTCAGTGCTCCTTTAGCGGTTTAGCACTTACTAAAGCAGAACTAACTTACCATTGCCTTAAACTTGAGCCTGTACAGTACCATAAGCTGTGCTTCCAGTTTCAGTGTTTAGTTGACACCAAGCTACCGATGTTCCCACACTCACTAAAACTGCCTTCATATAAGCCAAGAGACTTTCACCAATCCAAAAGCAAAACAGCATCAACAAAAATGACTAAGCAGAAACAGCCCTATGGCTACATGTAGCAGCTATGTATGGCATCTAAACTTTTCAGCCTGACGTTTCACCCAGCCAGCCGCTGCACATGAACACTTCAGAGTATTTTAAGCTACACTACAGAACAAAGCTTTCAAAAATAAAAGCTTCTACATTATTTTTAATAGCAGCCTCTTTAGCAAGTTACACAGTGGTTGAGTTTTGTGCAACCAGTGGATTGAGTCCAGCACAAAAACAGAGACCAGACAGCCCAAGTTACAGCTAAGGCTTCTGGAGAAATCATCTAGCTGACTTACACACAGTTCCCAGAACAAGCAGGCCCTATCAGAGGTTTACATTTGCTACACATTAGGCTTGCTTTTTCTTGATTGCTTTTTGTGAGTCTCAGCACTAGTCCAGGAGCTTCTAACAACTGTACAGACTGAAAATCCTCATTCTAGACTCTTCTTCTCCATACCCCAAGCCGTGACTTCCAGTTATATTATTTAACTGAGGTCAGTTATGACTTCCAAGACTTTCCTTTCTGCCTGCATACCCAGCTGTAAGTCTCTGATTCTAGAAGATTAGGGCTGAGATAAAATAACATGATCTCTTTGCAAAGATGTATTCCCAGAG